AATGAATTTTACAATTGATTATTTGTTGACTCTATTTACTCATGGAGTTCATCTGGGTTGTTATAGTGCTGCAGTAACTGTGTGATCCGTGTTAAAAACTAGGAGAGACTATCTAGCTGTTCCCCGCGTGTAATTTATTAAGATAGAATTTCATGGGTTTTAATTGTTTTGCGCGGAACCCCTATTGTTTTTCCAAAATAAAAGTAGCCTAAGTTCCTCCTTATAATATCAACTATCTGCTAGTGAAAGTCCCGTCAAAATCGGTTCGGCCATTTCGGAGATTAGCCGGAACAAACAGACACAGACAAAAATTGTAAAACTTGTTTTTACCGTACCGTATGTGCTTTCATATGCATTTAGTAAAAAAGCTGTTATTTTAACATTACAAACAGACACTTCAATTTCATTTATTTGTATAGATTTGATATTCTTTTTCCGTGTCAGACATGAAACAACTCTACGCAGAGCCTTTCGGTGGATACTACTACTACCACTTCGGTATAGCCGGGAGTAATCCGTATAAACCTAAAGGCAAAGTAGGTAACTGGCAAATACGAGTATGTCAAAGAATCCAACCCACTCTACTTTATATTTTTAAAATGAATTTAATGCAATTAGACCTCTATTACAATGCTGTACATAATTTTATTTAAATTTTTTATATAATAGAAACTTTCAAATATTGCTTGCTTTTTGCGTGTGAGTTTGACAAGTGAGTGTGCCGGGATAACGAGTTTACGAGCAAGTACTCAAAATGTATCTGGAAACCAGTTTAAATTATTTTTCAACTGATTTCAAAAAAAGGAGGAGGTTCTCAATTCGACTGTATTTTTTTAAGTTTGTTACCTCAGACCTTTTCTAGGAGAATCCTTTTTGATTATACTTTTTTAATTTGAAAGCTGGTGCTTCTCCTGTGGCCCCATATAAACTTGATCAAGATCTGAGCAGTAGTTTTTGAGTTAACCTTAATAATGCGTATTTAATTAACTAATACATTGATGATGTTCTCATTTTATTTACATTGAAATCGGTTGTACAAAATTTTTAATTTTACTACTTGTTTTTTAAGAACTACGTAATTTGTAAACTACGTAATTTGTTGAAACTACGTAATTCAGTGGGGCAATATCTCGACCTTCGTAAATTTTCTTAATTAAACGCAATTTAAATCACGCTGCTAATGTTATATAGGAAACAGTGGCGCGTGCACTGCCACAGAATAAATAAAATTTATTTAGAATGTTGCCTATTAAATTGCAATTCAAAATAAGTAGAATGCGTTTTACTCATTTTTGATTACAATAGTCAAGAAACTTTTCCTGAACAAGTACCCAAATGAAATAATTATAATTTGACTAGATTAAAATGTTCAAAGATTCATAAGTCAGATTCCATTTTCAAATATAGTTCTGATTTGAAGTAAAAACTAAATTGCAAAACCAGCAAAGGTCAAGAGAACGATATTTTAATCAATTATTAAATTTATATCAATCTTAAAATCGATCGATTACTAAAAATGTGGGTCTTTTATTAGCAAAGTTGAAAAAAACTACAACTTAAATCAATTATCATTTATTTATTATCACGATTTCGTATACATTTTAAAATTCCTAATGTAATCCAGGGTTTTATAGGTCTTAAACGGTTCGAGATTGTAACTAATTGTTTTCGCTATCAATAATTGTTGTAAATATGATACAAAAAGTGTAGCAGCCGCATTTGCGTTAGAACATTAGACTCTGACTCTGAGTACGTAGTGCTATTATTTATTCTGTGCTCTGAGCCACAATAGCTAAGTATGAAGGTTCTGCGCTGAGGGCCGCGAGTTCAAATTCCACACGAAACAAATATTGTATGGTCTACAAATAATAATTGTTCCGGGTCTGGATATTTGTCCTTGTGAAATTTATAGACAAAACCAACTCCACGATACGGAGGAAAACCCTAGGGTAGTAACGTTATTGAAAATGAGGAAAAACAGAAGATTATAATGGTGATTTTTTATTATATTATAGGTTTTACTTTATGGGTCCCACATAAATTTGGAAAATTATAATTTTCTATATAATTTCAAAGATTCGTAACCAGATTCAAATAACGTTATATTTGGATTTTGAGTAGATAAATACTAAATTGCAAGACCTTCAGCAAAGGTCACAAGCGAGCACGATATAAATAAATGATTATGACGTCTTAATGGGTATCGTGCCTTATGCGGAAAGAAATTCATTTGTGTATTATCTATCTTAAAATCAAAAGATAAATTAAACATTTGGTACTTTGATGGTGTCTGACTTTTTAAATTAATTTTACTGGCAAATTTAACGTTCTTCTAATTAAATAGATTTATTATAAACAAGTAAGTAGTGCTAGGCATGCGCGTCATCTTGGTACGCCTTCCCTGAGAAGAAAAGGGGGAGGAGAAATCCTCCCCTGAGGAGAGGCTGCCAAGGGGCGGCCGGCGCTTGAGGGGCCGCGGATGTGTTTGAAAGCGTTTCCCGTCGCCCTGGCAATATGCGGCAAAGGTGGTGGATTTTATTGCCCACGCTTCTTGCATGCCTCAATTTTATTTCTTTGCTGTCGCCTGCGATCAGACCGGAATGTAACAATATTGGTTATATTGTTGCATTTTCATCTCCTGTCACAATTTCACGTGATCACGTGTTTTTGTTCTGTAATGAGTTCATGAGCTTATGAGGAATCCAGCGGCAACAAACGTTTCTAACTTTTAAATGTTGATGTAATTTTTTCTTTTAATTTGGCTCATGCCAATACCCAGTCCTCGAATCTCCTCATAGGTGATGCGCCGATTTTCTTAAATTAGTCACCTAACAGTAACGACATTTCGGAGTTGAGGGTCGACGTCGACCTTCAGGAAACTTCAGGAATTTCATTATGGAAAGAAACACGGCCACGATCAAATTCTGCATACACAACACCTTACGGTGCTTAAACGTGGTGCTTATCTGTTTAATCCTGCAAAGTGAACTTCTAAAATCATAAAAAATCATCGCCTTAAAATATTTTCTCGTTAATTCCATTTTTGCTACGGATCACGAACTACGTATTGTAAAAAAAATCTATTTACACGCGACTTCCCACCAAAAATTATTTTAATCAATTTAAGTTTCTTGTGTTTTAAAAAATGTAACATTCGCTATTCTAACATTTTTATGAACGGCCAGGAGCGCAAATCTTTCAGAATGTCCTATGTAATTCTACAAACTATATATTTTGTAGGCGGCTTATTATTAAAAGTTAAAAGTTTTGTTTCTGACTTAAAGCCGTTTTTTTATTGGATTTATTTTTGAAACAAAGTGGAACGCTTTGGTAAATAACTATAATATAATTTGCGTCAAATTATATTTTTAGTTATATTTACTTACTGATAAGATAACACTCCTATTCGGCCTGGGATTTCATTCTCTTTCCGTCAATTTCCTTGTCTAAAAGCAGCAGCAGCGCGCCCACAGTTGTCAAATTGAACCGTTAAATTTATATTATAAGAATATCCATTACCTCAATCGTTCCCGTAGATGTCGTAAGAGGCGACCGAGAAAAAAAAACAACAGGTGGGCAGCAGCGTCTTGCTAATAATAACTAATATATATAAACCTAATATAACATACATTCTCCATAGAACAAGTATTTGTTTTAGTGTTTTATAAAAATAAACAATTATTCCGGATCTACTTGTTTATCCTTGTTCAATTTATTTACGAAGGGATGTGTATAGAAGTTCGTTGGATGGATGCCAAAAAATAGGTTTATACTATTTATGCCACGCTGCAGCTATGTTATGGTTGTAGCACGAATGGGTCGCCTTGACCGGTGTAGGACCACGCTCTCACATCATCCCAACGTAAAATAGCAGCTTAACACTGCTGTGTTTCGTATGGTGTGTGTAGAGAACCGGAGAACCTTTTTACTGGAAAAGAGGCATTCCATCTTAGTCCTCACGGGTGATGCACGCATCTGCAGATGTCTATGGGTCACAGCAACCACTTACCATCAGGTGGACTGTGTGCTCGTTTGTCACCTTTATCCTATAAAAAAGAACTAGTTAACTAGATAATTACTAGTTATTTCTACTAGGTATTCAAAATTATTTTCCTTTTGGGCCCTACATAGAATTTTCAGATTTATTAATTAATTTGTTTATAACTTCAAATTTCTCCCCAAAACATGTCAAAATCGCGCTTTTGACCTTACCGTCACGCTCTTTTTTCTTATATTTGGAATTAAATAATCGTTAGAGACTAAATCTGTGCGATGATGGTTTAAAAATTTCAAAGTCAAACGTTATCCATATAAATCGTAGGAGAGCCTATCGGCTTCAATCATATCTGATTACACACTGTTACACACATTTACCATCATATGGACTTTTAGCCCGTTGTCATTTTAGGTTCGTTTGGGTTACATTCTATTTTTTATGCCACCCAAACTGCAGGACTGCGCTGCTGTGATCGGTCTGGAAGGTATAGAGAGAGTGTACGATTACAGGCTGTGTGACATTCCATCTTGCAACAACTCTCCATCAAGACTCGATAAACTTTTTTTTTAATAGAAGGGTGACAACTGAGCACACAGTCCAACTGATGGTAAGTGGTTGCTGTGGCTCATTGACATATACATTTATCCTCGTTTGCGAATCAAAATTCAGATGCGTTGCCACCCGTGAGGACTAAGGTGGAATGCCTCGTTTCCAGTAAAAAGGGTTTCCGCTTTTCTCTACCGCTACTCATCGTACGAAACACATCAGTGTTAAGCTCCTATTTGACGCTGGTATTCTGTGAGAGCGTGGTCCTTCCCCGGTCGAGCCAACCCATTCGTGCTACAACTATACTACTATATAGCTGCAGCATGGTTCTACAACGTTTAAAAACTACTGTTTTGTCCGATAATCCGTTTGATTCCATTATAGTTGTGTAGAGAAGAATAAATAAATTTCGACTCATCACAAACAAGATTTATAAGATCTATTGATAAATTTGCAGACGGCATCGACGGTAAGCAGGCGCGTCGTACCGGTACAAGTGGACCGTTGGGTGAACTATTTGACCACGGGCTCGACTCCTATTCCGCGGTACTCATACCCACATACCTCTACAGTATTTTCGGAAGGTATTTGCATCTTCTCTTTTAGAATAGAATAGAATGGAATAAGTTTTGATCATAGTTATAGTTTAGTTATTGAAGTTATACTTATTGAAAGTTATGTTTTTACCACTGCTTCGGAAAAACATCTGTCCTGGGAAGAACCAGCAAGAAATTCGAGGGTTTTTTTTAAAATTACAATACATATTATTGTCTTCATATGGACCACTGTGCAGACTGATTACGTGGCAGCTGAGCTATTACTAGTAGGGCCAAACGCTGCACTTAAATTCCACAGTACGAGCAATCCGGGTTCAATGTCCGCCTGAATTGAATAAAATTGTTATAATTTGCTATTTTCAGTACAAAGTAACAATGTAGGTAGTATAGTTGAATTATACATTAGAAACAGCATGGTGACTATGACGTCATCCTCAAGGGTTATTACTTATTATCATTCGTGTATTCTTTAATATTTTAATAACCCTTTTTATACACCTCTTGCTTAGTAAGAATTTTATAATTATTATCAGGCAGACCCTCTCAGAAATTAGAGGTCTGTTCTGTGCCCAGTTGTGGGACTTATATATAGGCGGTAACTTTAAATATTTTTAGATAGGCTGCTTTTTCCTAGTGTTTACAGAATGTTCATGAATATTTTTTTTGTACACATAGATTAAATTTTTGAAGCGAGCTTCTTATAGCTTCGTTCTCTTACCAGGTGTGATTTTGTGAAAACTACACAAACATTTCAATGAATCCTCCTCCTAATCCGCCATAAATTTCCTTAGTAGGGAAGATTTGGCGTCATCTTGCTGCACTTGGCATGAAGATGACCGATCGAAGTACCAGTAATACATATATCTGACACTGCGGCCCGCCGCTATTCTGGATCTTTAAATCCTGCATAATATACAATACATATACATACATATACATCTTGTAGGCATGTATCACAGTCGCCTCGTATGACATCCACGGTATCATATTAGACGATAGACTTACGACACAATGAAAAGACGAGAACATACGTCAGATAACCAATAGATTTATAATACAATCTATCCTTCGGAGTGTTTATTTATTTGAAACTAGTAAGAAATATGTAGTGATTTTTGTTAATAAAAATTTAAAAAATAATTCATGTCAATTAGATATTGTTTCTTGTATTGAAAAAGAAATATCAAGAATCACTATATACACAATATTTAGCTGTTCCCTGCGACTTCGCGTGGAATTTTGATTTCATGGGTTTATTTTTTTGTTTTGCGCGGAACCCAAATCTTTTCCTAAAATAAAAATCGCCTAAGGTACTCCTTTTAGCATCAGCTATCTGCCAGTGAAAGTTACATCCAAATCGGTTCACAGGTTCTTGCGTGATGCGTGTTCAGACAGACGTCGTATTAGAGTTTTTTTATAGTATAGATATAATATATGTAGTATAGGCATTGTAGTAGGTAGATCTTAATTAATAAAATGAGTTAATCTGGTAGAGCTGGCCGTTATTACTAAGGCTTCTTGTTTAACCGTAACAAGGGATTTAGGAAGGCAAGGAATTAAACCTTGCGAACCACTCAGTTCACCTTATAAACATTCCAATCAATATCTTGCGTAAGCGTATTTTATAATTTTTTCATATAATGCAAATAATTGTAATAAAATTATCAATATGTTTATAAAGAAAAATGCTTAAATAAAGGTTACTATTAAAAAAAAATTCGAGCGTCGCGGTGTTGCGTAAAAGTTGACTATAAAACCTTTTAATAAATTAAAATATAACGAACTCCCCTAAGTTATTCACATGAAAATAGTAAATTTCATTGCCTTTTTTATATTCCACTATTAAGGAATAAAACCCCTTATCACATACGAGCATATTATACAGAACTAAGCGTGAGCAAAAAGTCGCTTTGCTAGTAAATGATGCTGAGGCCAATAGAATAGAATAGAATATTTTTTATTAAAAATGGATTACAGTAAATAATACTTATTGAAAGTCATTTTTTACTTTTACTACTAGTTCGCAAAAAAACCTCTGTCCTGGGAAGAACTAACAAGAAACCCAGCGGGACTTTTTTAAAAAAACACAAAATTGTTATGAAAACATTTATGGATTCCTTTTGACCTAGGTTATAAATTGCTCTTATGGCTCTCTTTTGAAAAACAAAGATAGTTTCAATATCAGTCGCATTTACTCCATAGCAAGATTCCATGTGACATTATGTTATGGAAATAACTAAAATAAACTAATCTAGATGTTTCAACACATGTAAGGCATATGGTGCAGAAGTAAGTTTGCTAGCTAGTTTAGATATATGAGTGCCCCATTGAAGCTTCCCGTTAACTGTAATACCGAGAAAACAGTGGATTCAACAAGGCCCAGCTCCTCCCCATTTAAAAGCACAATGGTATTCGCCTTTTTAACATTAGGTGTAGTGGGTTTACATTTCGTTTTATTACCGTTCAAAAGCAAATTATTGGCGTTAAACCAGTGTACTACTTTTGATATAGCATTATTCACTTCGTCATATTTCAATAATTGCCTTTTTAGTCGGAAAATCAACGAAGTATCATCAGCAAATAATACTATATCATGGTTATTCCCTACTAAGTAAAGTAAGTCATTAATATAAACTAAGAACAGAAAGGGGCCCAGAACTGAGCCCTGAGGAACACCCATAGATACTACCGATCCGGAAGAACTGCATCCATTAATAACAACTGTTTGCATTCTATTATTTAGATATGACATAATAAGTTTAAGCGCTATGTTTTTTACTCCATAATGATGTAGCTTCCTGATTAATGTCTCATGGTGAACACAGTCGAATGCCTTGGAAAGATCACAAAATATTCCCAAAGCATCTTCTGAATTTTCCAATGCACAGAAAATATGTTTGATTAGCTCAACACCAGCATCAGTTGTCGAGCGACCCCTTGTAAATCCAAACTGATTGTTATGGAGTAATTTATTTACATTAAAAGAAACTCTACATTTAATCTAGAATAATGTTTACAAAAATTTTACTGAGCGTTGGCAGTACAAAAATAGGTCTAAAATTAGTGGGGTCCAATGTACTGCCTGTTACTGTTAAATAAAGGTATAACTTTACTATGTTTCATTAAATCAGGAAACACACCAGATTCGATACAAGCATTGAAATAATAGCAAGTTGGGGTGCGATCGCATCTATTATAGACGCAATAACTTTAACAGAAATCCCCCATAGATCTGCTGTTTTTCTTAATATGAATAGTTTTGAAATATTTTACAATATCACCTGATAATATGCTATGAAAATAATTTTTTACAGACATTTACGTTTTGTTTCAGTGTGATATATTATATTTCTAATTCTTAATCAATCATAAAGAAAGTAGAGTCAACACACACAAAAGATAATGTAGAGTCACCACTGAGGATCATGGAATGCCTCGTTACCAGTTAAAGGGGTATCATCCGGTATTTTACACTTACCATACAAAAAGCTACAGCATCGTGCTATTTTATGCTAGTATGTTGTTAGACTTTCGCGGACCTTTCCCGGTCGAGTGGACCTATTTATATTGCAGCCATAATACAGCTCCAGCGTGGCTCTACCACGTACATTTTTTTATAGGGGAGGGGGCAAACGAGCATGCGGCTCACCTGATGGTAAGTGACTACCGCCGCACATGAACAACTGCAACACCAGGGGAACCAGGGGAATTGCAGACGCCTTTTTATATTATAAAAAAATTGTTCAAAAATGTTTACAGACAGGGAAGTGCTCAAAATATAATATTTATTTTTATAGGATAGGGTGACAAACAAGCAAACAGTCCACCTTATGGTTAGTGGTTGCTGTGACCTATAGACATCTACATCTATCCTCAGCCGTGAGGACTAAGATAGAATGCCTCGTTTCCAGTAAAAACGTTCTCCAATTCTCTACACTCACCATACGAAACACAGCAACATTAAGCTCCTATTCTGTGAGACATGAGAAGGACCACGCCTTCCCATGTCAAGCCGACCCATTCGCAGCATGGCTCTACCACGTATAATATTATACGTGTGATATATTTTTTTTTAAATATAAAAGTTATAATGCTGTGACACAACAACAGATGGACGTTACGAAATTGTAAGGTATCTCCTTAATTGCTGAAAACTAACAAATAAACTTCACTTTAAGACTACGGCCGCCCCACACTCCATCTAGTGTAGGGCGGCCCCCCACTATATGGAGTGATAACCTGGTAAAATATGCAGGAACTGAATGGACGCAGGTGGCTCAGAACCGTGTTTTATGGTATTCCTTGGGAGAGACCTATGTTCAGCAGTGAACTTGTGAAGGCTGTAATGATGATGATAAGATTATGTGACAATTTATTGTAATAAAATTTAAACAGAACTTCCTTCATGATTTCTTAATATTTACGTGTTCTATAAAGTGTCCGAAACGACGTCAACATTAAATAAAACTGATTTATCGAATTTTATCTCGTTTAGTTTTAAATAATTGCGCTAATACGGGGGCGGCACTGAAAATTTCGGGAATCAAGGATGTGACACAACATTACTATTTAAAAATGTATTTATTGCTTTTCGAAGTATTCTCCGCGAAATTTGACACCTTTTTTCCATACGATGGAACCAATCATTGAAGCAACCATTCCATTCGGAAGTTGGGGTCTCCAAAATGGCCGTTTTGTAGGCGTCCTCAGCTTCTTCAGGTGATGAAAATCTCTGTCCACGCAATTTATTCTTTATTTTAGGGAAAGTATAGAAATCATTAGGGCTTAGGTCGGGGCTGTACGGCGGATGGTCTAATAATTCTATGTTTTCTTGCTCTAAAAACTCTTTTGTTCTGTGTGCGGTGTGAGAACTCGCATTGTCGTGATGAAGGATGATGCGACGGTTGCAGTTCTCTTTACGGAGTTCAGAAACGACCTGTGGCAACCAAATGCTAGCATACCATTCTGCATTAACCGTTCTTTGTCCCTCAAGAGGAATAGTCGTAACATGGCCGGTTTTGGAGACAAACGTGGCCACCATTTTTTTTTGCAAAACTCCGTTAACGATCAATTTTTGTTGGCTTTAACTCATTTTCGAACACCCAAACTCGTGACTGGTTTTTTGTTTCGGGTTCATACGCGTATATCCAGGATTCGTTACCTGATACGATGTTGTATACAGTATTGGAGGATCCTGCGTGGAATCTTTCGAGAGTTCTGACGCACCAAGTAACGCGAGCCGCTTTTTGCTCTTCACAGAGCGAATGCGGTATCCATCGGGAAAACAACTTTTTTACACCTAATTGTTCATGCAAAATTATTTGTATTTGACTCATGCCAATGTCTAAGGTTGCCTGAATTTCGCGGTATGTCACATGTCGATCTTCCTCAATCAGCTTACGCACAGCATCGACGTTTTCTTGGGTGACTGCAGTTTTTGGACGACCTTGACGGGGATCATCACTGAGCTTGACACGTTCACGTTGAAATTCAGCAAACCAGCGATAAATTATGGTTTTGGATGGGGCTTCATCACCAAATGCAGAAATCATCCGGTCAACACACTGTTTTTGTGTTAAACCACTTCGAAAGTCATAATAAATCATCGCTCTTGAATTTTCTCGAGTCAATTCCATTTTCTCAACGACTAAACAAGTTTGACAAAACCTTGTGACAAGACCGAGAATCTTTTTTTAAATAAATAAATGGTATTCGCTTTTTAAAACCAAGGAGTTTTCAATTAAAAAGATTTTAATATGACAGGAACAGTGGAAATATTCCATTCCCGATACATTTAGTGCAGCCTATGTATAATATAACACGGTTCTGATTCACCTGCATCCATCGACTATCCCGATGCCACATAATCCTCTACCGCCTCACGCCCCAGGTGAGGGGTCTCCTAAACTGAACGTCAGCCTCAAGAGTGCCTTAAGATCCTTCCTTCTCCTAACGGTTATCGGTTCTGTTACCTACCGCATAGCCGGCTCATTGATACTTAAAAGTATCAATCTTCCTTTCATTTATCCTTTGATAAATTGCAATATCCTTTTATAGGGACGAGGTAAGCCCGCTGCGGTTTTTCTTCGTGATATGGAATGTTTTCATCAATTTCTACCTGACGCACTGGGAGAAGTACAACACGGGCGTCATGTTCCTGCCCTGGGGCTACGACTTTACGATGATTGTAAGCTTCGTACCTATCTTAATATTTTTTCATCCATCATTCCATCCATTACAGCCTCTAAAAGTTCACTGCGAAACATAGGCCTCCGCCATAGATTTCCTTATGGGGGAAACCTTGTAGGGGCGGTGTAAGAATATGCACATAATATCTTCGTGTGGGTGTCGTAAGACTCAACAAAGGAGAACTGACCCAGGACATGTGCAAAAGCATCTCAGCAAAGTATAAGTAAAAAAAAATTGCAGTTGCCAACTTGCTTGCCAAGCGTGGCAACTATGGCAAAATCATCTCTATATAAATATTTTTAATTTTCATGTTTTTAAGTAAATGAACCGCGGCAGCTAAGGGGATACGTGTTTGCCTTATTTCATAATACGCGAAAACAGATTTCGAACGCCGGCTTCACTGCGATTTTTATTTGAAACTAGATCCGCCCCGTCACAGGTGGTTTCTGGAACTCGACAACAGCGCTACCTACCGGATCCAATTGTAAATTTTAACCATCCATGGAGCCACTCAAACACACAAAAAATATTATCAAAATCTATGAGATTTTAAGTTGAACGAAAATATCGTAATCCTATTTTACCCTAAAGCCCTCTTAGATGAGAGGAGGCCCGTAGATCTGACGTTTATAGATTGCGACTGTCTCGTTAGTTTTCGTTGGGTTCGAATCCAACAAAAAGCAGTTATTGAGTTTTTCTGTCAAGAAATTCACAGTACGATCCAGGAGTCAGGACGTTAGCGGTGTTTCACCCTCACGCCTCGAAAAGCACGCAAAGCCTCTGATCTTTCTCTGATCGTGTCAGCTTGTCGTCCCATCGAACTATCAGATTGAGGCAATAGAGAGTGCACCTGTGCTTGCGCATACACTCCGGCACTATAATGTCGGCACTGTCCTGCGCAGATGGCTAGGTCTCCCTTTGAAACTGGCCTCTGTGACCGAAATACGCTCTGGGGGACATTTACTATTACATTACTTTTGAACTATACTTCTCAGGGTTCGTGCGTACTGCTTCTGGTGACGTCGGTGATCGGGCCTCGAGCCTGGCACGTGACACTGCCCGGTGGGGTCACACCCGGCTTGCTGTTCGAGCTGGTGCTATATTTTTCCGCTATGATCACCAGTCAAACCATCATATTGTGGAACATTTACAAGTAAGTCATTCTTTTTTTTATGGAATAAGGGTAACAAACGAGCACACAGTCCACCTGATGATAAGTGGGTGCTTAGGCCCATAGACATCTACATCTATCCTTGATTAAAAATCATAATGCAGAAGCTTTGTCACCCGTGAGAACTAAGATGGAATGCCTCGTTTAAATAAAAGAGGGTATCTGGTTCTCTTCAATCACCATACTAAACACAGCAGCATTGAGCTGCTATTTTATGTATTCTGTGAGAGCGTGGTCCTTCCCCAGTTCAGTTGGCTTATTCGTGCAGAAACCATAATATCATAAGCTCATATTATGGTTGTAGCATCAATATTTTAACCATGATGATGTCATTCTCAATTTTGACCAGCGATCTCCTTCTCTCTGCCACAAGTGTCCACGTCAATACAAAAGCAAACAAAACACTACTTACTAAAACCATATTTAAAATTTTTAATGTTTACTTGTTTTAATAATATAAGCTTTAAGTCGCGTTCAGACGTTCGCTACGCGTACGCCACGCGCGTCAGCACCCGCGTCTAACTCCCTTTGAAATTCGTTGCATATAATTTGAGTCCTATGGATACATCAATAAATCTGAAATTGCATTTATCGACGTTCAACCGCACACGCCTCGCACACGCCACGCGCTCGCCTCGTTCCCGCTCCGCGCTGATCCCGCGCTCACCCCGCACACGCGCTGCACCCGCCCCGCTACGCCTTGCGCCCGTGCTTCGGCTAGTGTCGTATTGACTGTGATCAAGTTTATAGTGGCTTGGTAGGTTTTTTAATTAAATAATAATGGATGACATCGATAAAGAAACATTTATTTCTTTGGTGGAGGAAAAGAATGTGCTTTTAAACCACTAGATAACTGCACTAGTTCTATAAGGGGACGAGAGGCGTGCGCTAACGTTGCGCGTGGCGAGTGTGGGTGTAAGGCGGACACAATGCGTGTGCAGGTCCTGTGCGTGGTCGGCGCAGGTCAACTGAACATGCCCTTATTTATAACTTGTTGATAGTAGCGTGATTATATTTTTCTTCCATTAATGTTTTACTGCCTATCAAACTCCACTGCTGAACATCGGCGTCCCCCATAGATTGCCTCATAAGGCTGATATTTGACAAAGTTGCCACGCTTGATATGCGATTTGGCAACCACAGATTTATATTTCTTGATATTAGGAAGACGCGGCTGCCTATCACCTGATTTGTTTCCTTATGTCACCTTTTACGATAATCACGGAAGGATAGTAGGTAGTGGATATGCTTATTATTTATCTGTATATAATACCTACCATCATAATGACTCTGAAACGTTACCTTTACACTCATGTCATTATAAACACAAAAAGGTTAAACCCGCATTGAAAACATTTATAATAGCACAATCACTTCGACAAAAAGTAATAGAATTACAAGAATCTTTCCCTTCTGCCCGAAAAAAGCCTTACCTGACAGCAAAAATCGCATCAAAATTCAAAACTCATCAAAGTTTTCAAGTATAATTGACTATAGTGTAGTATACACACAGACCGAAGTTGAATTTTAATTATAATATACATATAATACGAGGGTGACACTGAAAGTTCTTAGAAAATCAAAAACTGAACAAACTAGCAAATTATTATTTTTATTATATATTTTAAAAATAGTGTCCATTTACAATCAATACATCGCTGCATCCAATGGAACCACTGAAAAAAGCACTTTTCCCACTCGTCCTTAGGTGTCTCTTCAACGGCATTTTGAAACGCAACCACTGCTTTCTCGGCGTGCATTAATCGTTTTCCTCGAAGTTTTTCTTTTATGTTCGGAAATAAATAAAAATCGCTAGGTGCGAGGTCGGGGCTATAGGGCGAGTGACCCAGTAATTTCACGTCTGACGTCGCCAAGTAGTCGATTGTATGCTTGGCGGCATGCGACGAGGCGTTGTCGTGGTGAAGGAGGATCCTACAGCGAGGTCGTTTCTCCCGAACTTTTTCAAAGACAAGTAGCACACAGTTGTTAGTGTACCACTTTGCAGTAACTGTTTTTCGATCCTCTAAAACAATTGTTGCGTAATGACCTGTTCTTCCGAAGAACGAGGCCACCATCTTTTTTCCCACGCTTCGATCTCTTTTCACTTTAGTTGGCAACTCCTCGGAGGGAAACACCCAGACAGCAGACTGTCTCTTAGTTTCAGGATCATAACAATAAATCCAGCTTTCGTCACCCGTAAGTATACACTGTTGAACACAGCATCAGAGTCACCGCCGTTAAATCTTTGAACTATTTTACGACACCAATCAACACGACGGAGTCTTTGGGTCTCTGTCAAATTATGAGGTATCCACCGGGCATAAAGCTTCCTGACCGCTAAATGTTCATGGAGGATTTTGTGCACTTCTGATAATGTGCAATCTGCTGATAAAAGTCACTCTTTTGTCAGTGTCTATCTTACGCCGCACAACACTAATGTTATCTTCAATCGTCGCCGTAGAAGGCCGTCCCTCACGCAGATCATCGGTGAGATTAGTGCGACCACGTTTAAACTCATTAAACCAGTTGTAAACAGTGGCACGAGATGGGGCTTCATCGTGAAAGACCAATCGAAGTCTATTTTAACTTTCTTGTTGACTTAAATGACATCGAAAGATATAAAAAGTCATTGTACGAAAATTTTCTCGCATTAAATTCATGCTGACGTGACACAGACAATTTTTAATTTGCCGCCAAATCGTAAACAAATGACAAATTAATAAAATACATTTGTCATTTGTTTACGATTTGTTTCTATACAAATAAATAAAATTGAATTGTCTGTTTGTAATGTCTAAATTACAGTTTTTTACTAAATGCATATGAAAGTAAATACGGTACTTATAACTAAAATACAATTTTTAAAATTGTTGTCTGTCTGTTTGTTCCGGCTAATCTCCGAAACGGCTGGACCGATTTTGACGGGACTTTCACTGGCAGATTACTGATTTCATAAGGAGTAACTTAGGCTACTTTTATTTTAGAAAAAGAATTAGGGTTCCGCGTAAAAACATAAAAACCCTAACACGCGAGCGAAGTCGCGGGGCACAGCTAGTACACAATAATATTGGCAAAGAGTTCCATTTTCAAAATTTGAACTTATTTTTTTATCATATCGTTTACAAGTTCTAAAAACTTTCAGTGTCGCCCTCGTATGTATATTTATGGCGAGATTTTTTTTTGTTGACATTTTATCAAATTGCTTACCCAGCGACCGGTCAAAGGTCGAGGGTGTAACAAATTTATTTATACTTACCACGAGTAAATTTAGGTGGAGATGATGCGAATTTCATTATTATTGATCGCGTTTTTATTATTTTTTAATTGGTATTCATGTGACAGTGGGGGCCTCTGGCAGACAAGTGTGAATTTATTGCTGCCGATTTCAGTCTTTACCTCACAGTTTGTGCTTACTGTAACCCCTCCAACTTTAGGAGCTTCGTTCTTACCCCAGGAGAAACTCAAGTCCGGTTTCTAAGCACGCTTGTAACATTAACCGGTCATCTATGGCCACATCTTTAACAAGTTTTTATTAGCTTGGTATGTATCTGAGTAACGGAATTTTTAAATGTGATTTTCATCCCCTTTAAAACGTCGGATTGATTTGAAACTTCGCACACTTATCAAGAACCAACGACAATGCAATAATTTAAATAGTTTGTCCCATTATCCTTGTCAAGGTCCTCAGGATTTGCGAATAATTCATAAAAGAAGTACGATTTCTACCAGTTCAATCTACTGTATGCCGCGTAAAAGAAGTTCGTTCGAAAAAAAACACGCTTTTATAGTGAGCCGCAGTAAAATATAATATAGAATAGAAATTAAATAATAGTTTAAAATAAAACTAAAAAAAAAATAACGCTTTTGTAGATAACCGAACTAAAAAGTAGAAAATAATTTTCAATAAGTTTAAAATAAGAAAATAATTATTAACGTTAATGTTTTTGTTGCATATTTTGTGGATATTTGTAAAATTAGCGTCATCATAAAAATATCTGAAAAAGCACCCCACGCTATTTTACAATAAAATGTTTTTTTTTTATGTTAATCACTATTTTCTTATTTTAAAGTAATTGAATTTTTTTTCTACTTTTTAGTTCGGTTATCTACAAAAGCATGTTTTTTTTGTTTTGTTTTTTTAAACTATTATTTATTCTGTTTACTTCCCTGTCCTGCGAGTTTCGTATACTATCCGGTCTACGATACCTCTTGTTGGTACAACTCGGTGTACCACAGATTTTGATACTCGTAATGTTTGGGCCACATGTTTGTAGTGTGACCAGTTTCAATTAAAGTAACAGCCCTAGCAACTTGAGTAGCGTTTAGATCCGATATTCTCAGTTTATTTATAGTAACAATTCTCTCTTAACACAATAAACAAGGCAGTCACAGCTAAAATTTAAACAAAACCTAAATGCAAATTCACAAATTTTTGTCAGTATGAAAGAACGCAATATTACGCAATAATTCTATAAAAATAAATGAAATTCGAAAAGAATATTCGAAAACTTTCTTTTTTTAATAGCATTATATTTATAGCATTTACTAATTAATTTTTGTGGCCAGTACGCAAATTACAACAGGAGAACTTAAACCTTTTTTTGCGTTCGCTAACTTTGTCCATGAGTGTAGAGATATATGTATATAGTATATATATTCTTTATAGGTCATACCGAGATGGCACAGGCAAGATGCGTCCATTCATGGAGGCGATAAGACCATTGATACCACTTGCAGCGTTCTTCGTACTCAGCACAATTTGGGCCATGTACTCGCCGACGGACATTATCAACCGCGGACCTAGATTGTTCTACGTGCTCACTGGAACCATCTTCTCTAACATCAACGTGAGTACCTACCTAAAATAATTACATAAATATGTTTGATTGGAATAGGGATGGTAACCAATATTGTATTCATTATGGTAAAGAAGCTTTGCGTCGAGAGTGATGCCAAGAAAAACAGTGGATTCAACAGGGCTCAGTTCTTCCCCATTTAAAAACACATTGGTACTCAGATTTTTAACATTCGTTGTTGTAAATTTAATACATTTAGTTTTATTTCCGTTTAAATGTAGATTATTAACGTTAAACCAATGCAATAATTTTGATATAGCATTATTCACTTCGTCACATTTAAATGATTGACGTTTAAGTTTAAAAATCAAGGAAGTATCATCAGCAAATTATACTACATCATGATTATCCTCTACAAGAGAAGGTAAGTCATTAATATACACTAGAAATAAGAATGGGCCGAGAATCGAGCCCTGAGGGACACCCATTAGTACAGGTGAGCCGGAAGAACTTTTACCATAGATAATAACTTTCTGCATTCTATTACTTAAATATGAAATAACAAGTTTAAGCGCTGTGTTCTTGACACCATAGTACTGTAGCTTCCTGATTAATGTCTCATGGTGAACGCAGTCGAAGGCCTTGGAAAGGTCACAAAATATACCCAAAGCATCCTCTGAATTCTTCCATGCACAAAAAATATGTTTAATAAGCTCAACTCCAGCGTCAGTTGTCGAGCGACCCTTTGTAAAACCGAATTGATTTCTATGTAGCAATTTATTAATATTAAAGAAACTTAGCATCTGATCTAAAATTATTTTTTCAAAAATGTTACTAAATGTTGGTAGTACAAAAATTGGTCTAAAATTGGCGGGGTCTAATGTACTACCAGATTTAAGTAAAGGTATGACTTTACTCTGTTTCATTAAATCAGGAAACACACCAGATTCGACGCTTATATTAAATATAGTGGCTAGATAAGGTGCTATTATATCTATTATAGATAAAATAACTTTAAAGGAAATCCCCCATAAATCTGCCGTTTTCTTAACATCAATAGTTTTAAAATATTTAACGATATCTTTTGGCAGTACTCTATGGAATTTAAAAGTATTTGAACAAGCCTTTACATTTTGTTTGAGCAATGATTCGGCGACAGTAGGAGAAGAGTTTAATGATTTAGTTGTCAAAAAAGGAACATCAGTAAAATGTTTCTCAAAAGCCATAGCAACTTCTTGATCAGATCGGGTTAAATTATTGTTAATATTCAATTGAAAATCCGAGTTGCGCGGTTTGACCTTGCCCGTTTCACTATTTATTATTCTCCAGGTCATTTAAATTTTGTTAGATGCAGTTTTAATTTTGTTACTTAAATGTAAAGCCTTAGCTGTGGCGCACACTTTTTTAAATATTTTAGAATATGTTTTTACATCTCATCTCTAAATATAACACTACCATTATATGATCTTTCATTATAAAGCTCGTATAACTTTCGCCTACTCTTATAAATTCCTACTGTCGCCCATTCATTAAATGATTTGCGACTGTTAAAAGAGGAAGTTTTAGAAGTAAATATCCTACTAAATTCACAAGTTATAATTTTAAATAACGTACCATACAAATAATTAGTACTGTTTTTAAATTAAAGTGATGGAAGTCTTTTTATTATATTACTTCTAAACCTCTCCAAGCGATGTACAAACACAACTTTCTTATTTTTCTGTTTCTTGTGTATGTATGTAAGGCCAACTGTCCACAGTGATCTGAACTTAAATTTTGAATAATTGATTTATGCAAGGGTTTAACATTTGTAAAAATATTATCTATACAGGTCGCACTAGGCCCAGCAATACGTGTTGGTTCTAAGAATAAATTAACAAGATTATACGATTTAAACAATGAGCTAAACTTAATACTAATGGAAGAAGTTTCAAGGAGATTGATATAAAAGTCTCCACATATTACAACAGACTTGTTCTGTTTACTAAGTTTGAGCAAAACTTCTTCCACAATCCTTTCAAAATAGTCATAAGTAGCACATGGGGGTCTGTAAACACTTACAACAATGAGGTGCTCGAGCTCGACACAAGCCATTTCTACAGTTCGCTCAACAGAGAGGCTAGTGAGCCTATCCTTACGTTCTTTATATAATAATGATTTATCTGCTAGTACCGCGTAAACTTTTTTCTCTATTGAAGGAACTGACCACCTGGTGATTTCTGAAATTAAACATGAAATTATAATCTTTTAGCCAATGTTCAGTAATACAAAGGATATGTATGTTGTTACTATTTAAAAACAATTCAACTTCTAATTCTTTGCCCATCATGCCTTGTATATTTTGATGCACCAGGTGTAAACAATTTTTATTACTTATTTGTGGCCTGCATTCAAAGTTAATTAAACTCTTATTATTGCTAGAGATTGCCTCTATTGTCGCATTTACTAATTTAAATTAGTTGGAACTGATTCCAAATTAATTGTCAAATAATTATCCTGCCCAATAAAAGCAGTCTTGGTAGCAAAAAACTTGGCTGAGTTAAAAAGTAAATAATAAGATAGCACATTTGCTATCAGTCTTAAATTATATTTGGATAGGTAATACCTATCTTTTGTCCAAAACTGTTTTATTAAATTATTTATATCAACTAAATGAAATTTGTCATTATTATAATTACAGTTATATGTCAAATTTAAATTATTGTTACATATTAAATTATTCATTTGTATATTTAAATTATGTCTTAGATTATTTTCCTGTGGCAATCCCTGTATGTAAGGCAGTGTGAACAAGACAATTTTGTGTACATTTAAGTTATTAAGTTGCTCAATATATCTTAATAACTGTTTGTTGTTTACACTGCCTCTTCTACCAACAAAAAATATTATTGTACTATTTGGGCAAAATTTAGTAACTATAATTTTATTTAGGATGTCACTAAAAGATGCTCCAGGCATGCAGCAATTTGTAATTTTTTGTCCCTTTAAAGAGTAATTTAAAGTTATGCCTAGATTTTTTCCTATGTCATCGCTATACACAATTATATTATTTTTGTTAATATTTAAGTTATTTTTTATTTTAAGCTCCTCTGCTATGGCACTGTCATAGAGTTTTGGTGGTAGTATAATATTATCAGCACACACCGACTCTGAAGAAGCTGGTATTGAATGCTGACACTCACATTGATGTTTAACTAAGGAGTCAAAACGCTCCTCATTATATTTACATGTCTTTACCAGATTATCCATAGCCAGTATGTGTTCTTTTATTTCGTTTTGGGCTGATTTATATTTATTGGATACAGTTTGAAGGTACTTTGTAAGAGATAATATTTCTGATTTAAGGCACTCTACGTCAGTCTCTTAACATTTTCTTATGTTATCCACCTCAATTGAATACAACTTAAGTTCATATATCAATGCTTGCTTTTGTTTACATAAATTAACATAATTTTTGGTATTAATCTCATTTTTTATTAATTTTTGTACTTTCTTTATGTATTTATTAACTTTTATATACTTCTTCAATTGGGTTTTACTGCAATTAATCCTCACTGAGTTTCCTGAAGTGGAAGAGTCGTCACCAGTCAAATCTATTGTTGCAGATTGCTGTAAAATTCTTCAAGTATTACATTGCACAAGCTCAGAGAACAGGCTTTGAGTCTGGGAGGCGTTAAGATTATCTATATATGTTTTAAATTGTATTATTTGCTCATTAGCCTCATTCAACTGTAACTTCAATGCAGCAATGAACCTGAGAGCTTCCTCATATTCCTTGCTGCATCGGTCAAACTCATTAACCATTCCCTGTAGCTGATCTCTTTCTTTTATAACACTTGTGTATTCTGTATCTAACTTAACCATACCACATTTTTGGCAATTATGCTAACTATTTCTTTTTCATTATCATCCCTTTCCTTAAGCAACAGTTCACACTGCTCCATGGACGCCTTAAGTTCTGGGAGCGCAAGCTGGAGTTGGTTCTCCATCTGGCGCGTCTTGGCGTTGCGAGTATTCATTTTACTATTTATTATAAAAAATAAAAGAAAACAAAGATCGAAAACAGAAGGAGCAGAGTAAGCTAATATCGAGTTGTTGTTTTTTTTTATTTACAAGTCTCAAATCAAATTATCGTTAAAACAATTCGAAAAGAAACCCGCAAAGAATGTAATAACCCGAGTAATAGAATACATCTTTAAAATTATAAAAGGAATGATATTGAATAAGAATTACAATAATTTTAAAACAATATTCGTTACCTGTCACTTTTTGTTCTAGAATAGAATGAAATGAAATGAAAATTATATTTATTTCTCCACCACAAAAGTATATAGATAAGTCTACTAACAAAACTTAAGAAATATTAAATATTTTAATATATTTTTTTGCAGTGGACTGGAGCCTAAACTAGGGTGTCCCTGTATTTCAGGACTCCAGGTCACTCGCTCGCTGACTACTTCCAAGTTTGTCGGAAAGTGTGTGTGTGTGTGTGGGGGGGGGGGGGTTGTGTTATGTGTGTGTGTGTGAGAGTGAGTGTGTGTGCGTGCATGCGTGTGTATTAGCTTACAATAGCAACAAATGATTCAGTGTCGTCATAACCAAGCTTTGAAAGATATTTTTTTAAATACAAAAATAGAATAAAACAAAACTTTGGTGTTGTTATAACATTTATGTACCGACTTTCATAAATATTAAATACAAAGCGGCAGTAATTATCAACTATAATATAAAATTGAGGTGGATGTAATGAATTTACAATATTTAAATTATTAAAATTTATCGGGACCAATTACTTTTCGTATCTTTGCGTCTATAAAATACCGGTTGAATCGAGAGTGAGCGAGGGGTTGCATCACTCTAGCGGCGCGTCATATCAATGGTGGTAGGGTAGAATTGATGGCAGGTCTGGAAACCCCCACTGGTTTGTACAGTATAAAGTTCACTGAAGGTACCGTGTGCGAGTTATTAGGTATAAGTCATTCTACGAGTACTCACACCCGTAGAAGTCACCAATAGTTTTTGAGTTACGAGTATCCTTAGTAATGCGTATTTTTTAACTTCGACTACATTAATGATGTTCTCATTTTAATTATATTGAAGTCGGTTGTAATTTTACCACTTGTTTATTTACAGTGTCGCCTCATCGTAGCCCAAATGAGCAACACTCGATGTGAAGCGTTCAACGGGCTGCTAGTGCCGTACTCACTAGTGATGTTCATAGTGTTTTACTACCGAGTATCGCCGATGACGGAACTATTGCTTCTTACCATGCTATGTGTTGCCTGCTCAGTATCACACATCTACTACGGCACGAAAGTTGTGAGTAATTTACGTCTCTTGTAATATTTAAATGAATACTTTAGTTTACATTAGAGGTTCCCAACCTTTCCTGCACCGCCCACCCCTCCAGCCTAGTCCTTATTAAGTAGATACTTTTTATTAAATATTAAAATGTTGTTCCATATTAAAGCCATAATAATATGATAATTTACATAACTAGGTAAAATATTTTTAAAGCATTTGCAAATCTTTTAACATATTTTTAAAATATTTTGAAGCTGATAGGATACCACCTCCAACGGTCTTCCCATCGCCCCCACTTGACTGCCTCAACGACCTCTATTTGCCTCTAAATCCACTACCATGGAAAGCTCCATCGCTTACTCAAGACTGAGGGGAAGGGGGTAGTAGCATGGATTCCTAACTGGGGTAGGTAGGAATCCATGCTTTAAATAAAAGTCATTTATTATTCTTAAATTATTTTCTTATTCCGACGTTTAAAACTCAGTCCCCCCGTGACCATGAATACTACAAAGCCGGGAAATTAAGTTAACAAAATAAACGCAATTAATTCCGTAAACAAAGTCTTATTCAATGTGTGTTTTAATTCCCATGAATATATTCTATTTCTTCATTGATCTGTTTAATTCAGTGCTAGATACATGCTCCACACTCATTCTAGATTGCACTAACAGTCACGCGTACCTTGCAAGTTTTGACCACACTTACCACTATTCTAGTGACCAGTTGGTAAGCACTGATCCGAGAACGCACTTGTAATGCACCTCATCACTAATTTGTATGGAACCGTTCAGTTCGATATTCACAAATGGATGTACAATAAAGGTCCATATTCCGTCCCCAGCGACGCGTACCGAGCTAAGGAGATGGCTATGCTCGGAGTTTTTCTGCGTCATAGAATCGAAGATATCTTCAATAGAACCAGAATAAGCCCAAAACTTCAGAAAACTGAAGTGGCAATGGGCCGGCCACATAGCTTGAAGAACAGACCACCCCTGAATTAGAAAAGTTTTCGTGTGACAATCCCTTACCGGTTGCGGGTAAGCGGTGTGTTGTGCGGTCCCCTTACCAGATGAAATAACAACCTGTTAACACAAACAGTATAGTGATAGATGCGAGTGCTCAGGACTATGTTTTGTAGCACTCTTATAGAAAGGGTTCAGCAGTGGATTTGTGATATTGATGATGACGATGATATATGCAGTTGGGTCGCTTTAATTATTATTATTAAGTCGTATTATATTGTTACGTAATTGCATTTGTTATACACACCATTTTATATATGTAAACAATGTAAACAAAATTATAAACCACTGAATATTTTTGAAACGTTTTCAAAAATATTCAAATCTAAACCTTGTTCGTCATCGTCAAAATGTCATATTGCCATTCCTACCAAATTTGTGTACTTTAATGAGTGGCTAATACCTAAAATTTTTACGTAGGTATATCGATATGACAACATAGCGTTCATTTACTGTGATACTAAGTATTTACATTCGACTGAAATTCTAGTGCAAGTGAAAAAAATATGTCGATATACAGAGTTGTTTTTCAATAACCGGCCAAATTTTCAGAGCAGGTTCAGAATAAGTAATTTAGGCAAATGGTAAAGAAAAATTAATTAGAAAAAAATTGAAACGTTCTGTCCTTTATATATTTTAACTTCAAAATGCGTGGTAATGCAATATTTTAACTGATTTTATTGTGCACGCACACATTCTTAACAGTCGATCGGTAGGTAATAACGTTGTTGCCCATAAATCACATTCAATTTGGGATAGTTTCAAATAAAAGTAGAAGCCTTATTTACTCGTATTTTCAAAAACTGCAATAACGGTATATTCTTATTTATATATTTGAACTTAAGTTTAAAATTTAGCTACTCTGAAAAATAACCCTGTATATCGTATCGATATTTTAAACAGTATCGAATAGTATTGATATATTTCGCGTGATAAATATCGATTTTTTACCCAAGCCTATGAAATTCTTGTGAGCATCTTAACTTACTATGACTTTCTGAACAGATTTGGGTAATACATAATTATGATGTAGACATTTTTACACCCTTTTATAACCTTTCTTTAATTTATAAGCATTTTAATTGGCTCATATAATATGATAATAATACTAAAACAAATCATTGTTTTCAGGTACAAGAGATGTGCGAGCATTTCAACATCGCATGTTTCCGCATCAAACCAAAGATAAAATAGTATGCTTAGCATTGCCAGCGTCAAATTAACTCCTTACAGGTTGTAAAGTTTTAAACTACTTCCTTTAATAAGTAGTGTTGTAAACTTTGGTTAACTTATGAAATGTTTATTTAGAAGAATTGTGTGTCCACTAGCCCATGGAGGACGTGTGACTTATACTTAAAGACATTCAAAAGATTGACAAAGCCACTGTGAGCTAGTGTATGTACCTTTAGTGCGTAATTCCAAAGATCTGTTTCTTCTTGTAAAAAAAATAATTCTACATAAGATGTAGAATCAGCATTTAGTCTAATTTACTATCGTTAAAAGTTTTATTGGTGTATATTTTTTTATGATTGCAGTTGTATCGACTGAATATATTTTAGATATTTTTATTTAACATATAATCTTGCTTGAGCACTAGTCATTTGCTAGGATGTTATAAAAAGTAAAAGAATATTTTATGGATTTGAAACTCGTTAAAAATTATGTATGTATAATCTTCAAAGATTGATATTTCTTTTGTGAATGTTAGTTTTTATGAGATCTTGTAATTTTTCTAAGATATCTAGCGTGATCGTAAAGGATTATATTGTTTTAAAGCATTAAGTTAAATTTATTTGAAAGGTGTTCTGAATCACTCGATGTGATATGTTCGATTTATGATACAAGTCACAGTGTCCCATGTATAAAATATAAGTTTTATTATATTTTACTTACATAATGTCTAAGACCAACAACGAAGATAGACGGAGCGCTGCAAAAAATTCGAGTGACGCCAAAACCATGCTCTTGAGCAAGCCAAAACCATGCATGGTTTTGACTAGTTCCGGAATCACTCGAAATGTACGCAGCGCTCCGTCTATTTTTCTTTGTTGATCTAAGTAAAGTGTACTATACAGTTTTTTGGAGTTACCCTTAGCAAAAAACTTAGTAATGTTGTTTACTTAAAAAAACTAATTTAATGTACTGTTTATGTACCTATTTATTTTTACATCTGAATTTGGGATTTTTTAGAAAACAATTTTACACAATCGTAGTTTTGAGTACTGTCCGTATTCAGCAAATCATATATACATATGTATGCACTTATGTTTCTAAAATATTTTGTAGATCTACGGCTCGCCTACATTTCAGTGATGTTTTATTTAAAAAAATTCTTAGACTAAATTTAATAATTGATTTTAACATAACGGAAAATATTCCACATCAAATATTTTGTACTAAATTATAGCTGAAAACATTTAATTATATCTTTTTATAATACAATTTTCGTTATATTATGAACTGTTTATAAAGTCAGACACTCATAATATATTTAACAAATAGCATATTTATATTAAGATCTGTATTAATGTATGTAACACGTATGACATTTTAACACACTACACAATAAGCTGATCATAATTAAATTTTATGTTGGAAATCTATAAGTTAGTCAAAATGTGTTAGGCAAAAGGCATTAAATATGAACTCCATGACATTTATTTATAATTGGATTTTTTTTCATGTGCTCAAAACATTAGTCATTAAGGTGTTTTCATATTAGATCTTCCTAGATAAATGTCTCGATCTTTCATATTAGATAAATGTTGCCAATGTTATATTATGTTCTGTAGTCAACCAAACATTTTAAAGCAAGGCTATGCTATACGAGATGAAGAATGTAAAAAAACTTTTAGGAGTATATATAGACATTTATATTTGTATTTCACAAATCAAAATGTCCAAACAACATAAAACTTATTCACACATTTCACAAAACTATCTATGATGTAAATATACGAAATAAATAGTGCAATAACAAATTTGGAATAAAACAAAACACCCAAATGTAACAACAATGTATTTCAAACAAAAAAGATGTTGAGATTTTATTTGAACCAACATCAAATAAGGTTTTTAATTCATGGGAATATTTTATAATTCTTATTTTTCATTTATTCATTCATTCATTCTTATATTTAAATTCAATGACAATTCTTTACCACGTTGTCCGATTTAAGTGATTCTGGTGATGTGATGGGTTACCTCAGGGATGGTACTGGTACCCATAAAAAGTTGGTCAAGATCTGATGTTGGCGACCTTGAAAAAAATCACTCGCGACATATGCGCGAATAATTCTTCACTTCGTCAACCGATTCCGATGATTACATTCCTTTTAACTATTTGCAGTGGGTTTTTTCCTTCTTTTTTTAAGTTTAATTATTATGGACTAAACTATACCAAAAAGCTGACCACATTTACCGAATTCTTATTACTATGAAACGCCGAGCGACAACTGCTTCTAACATTATTACCTATGAGAAGAGGACACTAATAAAAACACATATTTACGGTATAGGGATATTTTAACAACACATGAATTCCAACGAGTGTGTCAATATTTTTTAAGACGTATAATAATCCAAGAAAACTATTTAATTATCTACCTTTTTTTAAATAAATGTTGATTATAAATGAGATTTCAAATTTATATGCAGAGAAAACTGTACATCATTAAAGTATAATTTTTAAATTAAAAAAATAAAGTCAAAACCTTTAATAAATTGGTTGGGATAAATAATGAACAATTTTATTTTTAAAACATTTTAAAGTGGCCAGTACTTTTTAGTTGGTCAAGGTTATTAAAAACATCCCTATACCGTGTTGATGTTTTTATATGAGAAGCGCTACCTACGCCAACACCAGCACTACTTTGACTACACCAATTACTATCAGTGTGTTCTCTGTAAAGCGTATGTTCATGATCAAGTTTACATTCTTTGTATCGTTGCACTTTCCTTAAACTACTGACAATATTATAAGTGTTCTTGAATGATTATTTGTAAAATTTTAGTTTACATTCTTAGATTTATTTATTAGATATAATTATATGCTTAGCAATGGTTCTGTGGTATTTATATTTAATAAAGAAGTCTGATCCTTTTGGTACGAAATATAGGCAGCTTTAATTATCCTAAAATCAGTTACTTGCCTAGTGTATTTCATTTTGTTGTTAACTAATATGTAACAGTTAATACTTGGTTTCTTACTTTTCATATGCATAAGATACAAATGTATCGTTTTAAATGTTAAACTTGTACAGTCTGACGTTCATTTTGTATACTTTTAACCATTATCTGGTATATCGATATAAAATATATAATACTTTTTCGAATCTTTTTATAGGATTTAGTCGTTATAACGGTAATAATGTATCTCGCAATTTTCCTATTAGGGACACTTAAAGTAAATTAAAGTAATTCTTGCCAAATTATTGTTTTATTTTCTTTATCTGCCTGTTATTGTTCTGGATGGGCCTCTCCCGTTGTAGGGAGGGTTTGCCTTAATGGTCACACTTGGTTTGACGATCTCGCAGCACCAGACATCTTGTATCTTTGACGCTGCTGCCCGATGCCGATCTAGATATTTTACGTCTCACTTAAATGAGTGGGATATACCGCCGTCCATCAAAAGTCAAACATTTTTCTCTCATTTCCTATAGTTGCCTCTAACGCGACACCTGGGAGAGGAATGGGAACACAGTGTGTTTGTTCCAATAAATGAACATCGCTTGGAGAGGTTTAGAAGTATTATAATAAAAAGACTTCCATCACTTTCGTTTAAAAATAGTGCTAAATATTTGTATGCTACATTATTTAAAATTATAAGTTGTGAATTTAGTAGAATATTTACTTCTAAAACTTTCTCTTTTAACAGTCGCAAATCATTAAATGAATGGGCGACAGTAGGAATTTATAAGAGTAGGCGAAGGTTATACGAGCTTTATGATGAAAGATCATATAATAGTAGTGTTATATTTAGAGATTATGTAAAAACATATTCTAAAATATTTAAGAAAGTGTGCTCCACTGCTAAGGCTTTATATTTAAGCAACAAAATTAAAACTACATCCGACAAAATTAATATGACCTGGAGAATAATAAATAGTGAAACGGGCAAGGTCAAACCGCGCAACTCGGATTTTCAATTGAATATTAACAATAACGCGATCTGATCAAGAAGTTGCTATGGCTTTTGAGAAACATTTTACTGATGTTCCTTTTTTGACAACAAAATCATTAAACTCTTCCCGTACTGTCGCCGAATCATTGCTCAAACAAAATGTAAAGGCTTGTTCAAATACTTTTAAATTCCATAGAGTACTGCCAAAAGATATTGTTACGGCATGCAGCTGCCTAGCTAATGGTAGTGTCCTCCTAGGCCCATAGTAGGAAGACCCTACAGGCAGATACAGGTCGGGCTTTAGGCCAAAGTGGAAGTTTCTAATTGAAATAAACGAGGGGAAGGATCACTAAGATAAAGGCACTTACTTGCTTCAGGAGCGGAGACGGTTCACCAAGACCGGCCCGGCTGATGACAGTGTCATGAGTGTATGTGCGATTGTATGTATATGTGTGTGGACGTGGCCTGGTCTGGATGACACAATGCCGTCCTGGAGAAGGTATGCGCTGGTAGCCTCGGAACTATTCCCCTCTTGAGGCACTCTTCCTGGTTTGTCACGCAATGGGACAGCTACACGTAGAACTTCAGAGGTAAATCACTATTATAGTTGCACAATTAATTTAACAGAGTTAGTAAGTCCTAATGAACGATACGGGTTCTCACAACGATTTACGCGGGTTGATACTTTCGTAACAAAATTAGGCGCGAAAAACAGACGTCAGTATAGATCGCAAAGAATTTTACAATGACTGTCGAGAAGTCCGTCCGATCCCGCTGCGGAATGCGGCTGGGTGGCGGCGGGTGACCTCGCTATCGAGGCTACGCGCGCACGTTAAAGAATATGTTTCGAAGGTATAATATTATTGCCTAAACAAACCCCCGCCCCGGACATAAGGCATTATGTCCGCGAGTAGATTGGCAAACGGGACAAGGTCGCGACGGCACGTTGCAAGACCGAATCTCCGACCAAAACCTCGGCCACTCTAGGCACCCCATCCGCTCCATACGACAACTTAACAATGCGCCCACGGCGCCAATACAAAGGTAGAGCGTTTGGTTCTTTAACCAACAC